TTAAAAGCCATGCGCTCTACCAACTGAGCTAAGACGGCTTCATTAAGTGGTGTAATATAGTGAATATTGGAACTACAAATATGTCCACTACGTTGGGATTTCATCTTTATTTAATGGTTTCTTGTTTGAATAGTTATTTTTCCAAACTTGAGCCAAGTTTGGCAAAATAAGAGTTTCCCCCAAAAGCCCAAATGAAGTTGACGACCTTATACGCCATGAACTTTTATTACTATGGAAAGTAAAAGGTGTGCTCATATCCCAATACTATTCAATAAATAAATCTAATAATGAGCTTGAGTAAATGACACGCCAAGGGCCTCTTTGTCTTCAAAAATTCTGAACAATAAACAATAAGACAAAATCGGAATCTAAAATATTATAGAAAATACCAATCTTATCCTTAAACGGTTCCTGATCCCCGCTTCTATAACTACACCCAACGATAAAGAAAAGACAACAGAAGAAGTTAATGATTTAGGTAGTCGAGTCAAACACAGTGATCCATTTTACCAAGGCAAACAGATGACATGCTACAAACATTTCAAAATATAACGAATTATCCGATTATGGAACAATCAAGCAACGAGGAAATGGAAAAAGAAAGTGAAGAATGACCGCCGACTGTGGGAATCGAACCCACGACCACATGGTTAAAAGCCATGCGCTCTACCAGCTGAGCTATGACGGCTTCGTTAAGTGGTCTAACTTAGTGAATATTGGCACTACAAATATGTCCACGACGTTGAAATTCCACCTTTATTTAATGGTTTCTTGTTGAAATAGTTATTTTTCCAAACTTGAACCAAGTTTGGCAAAATAAGAGTTTTCCCCAAAAGCCCAAACGAAGTTGAAGACCCTAAATGCCACGAACTTTGGTTTCTATGGAAAGTAAAAGGTGTGCTCATTGCCCAACAATATTCAATAAATAAATCTAAGAATGAGCTTGAGTAAATGACACGCCAAGGGCCTTTTCGTCTTTTAAAAATTCTTAACAATGAACAACAGGACAAAATTGGAATTTCAAATATTATAGAAAATACCAATCTTATCCTTAAACGGTTCCTGATCCCCGCTTCTATAACTACACCCAACGATAAAGAAAAGACAACAGAAGAAATTAATGATTTAGGTGGTCGAGTCAAACACAGGGATCTATTTTACCAAGGCAAATAGATGACATGCTACAAACATTTCAAAATATGCAGAATTATCCTATTGTGGAACAATCAAGTAACGAGGAAATGGCAAAAGAGAGTGAAGAGTGATCGTCGACTGTGGGAATCGAACCCATGACCACATAGTTAAAAGCCATGTGCTCTACCAGCTGATCTAAGACGACTTCGTTAAATGGTCTAACATAGTGAATATTGTCACTACAAATATGTCCACGACGTTGGGATTACATCTTTATTTAATGGTTTCTTGTTGAAATAGTTATTTTTCCAAACTTGAGCCAAGTTTAGCGACATCAGAGTTTCCCCCAAAATCCCAAACGAAGTTGACGAACCTAAACGCCATAAACTTTTATTTCTGTGGAAAGTAAAAGGTGTGCTCATTGCCCAATAATATTCAATAAATAAATCTAAGAATGAGCTTCAGTAAATGACACGCCAAGGGCCTTTTCGTCTTCAAAAATTCTTAACAATGAACAACAAGACAAAATCGAAATCTCAAATATTATAGAAAATACCAATCTTATCCTTAAACGGTTCCTGACCCCCGTTTCTATAACTACACCCAATGATAAAGAAAAGACAACAGAAAAAGTTAATGATTTAGATAGTCGACTCAAACACAGGGATCCATTTTACCAAGGCAAGCAGATGACATTCTACAAACATTTCAAAATATTCAAAATTTTCCAAGCAACGAGGAAATGGCAAAAGGGAGTGAAGAATGACCGTCGACTGTGGGAATCGAACCCACGACCACATAGTTAAAAGCCATGCGCTCTACCAACTGAGCTAAGACGGCTTCATTAAGTGGTGTAATATAGTGAATATTGGAACTACAAATATGTCCACTACGTTGGGATTTCATCTTTATTTAATGGTTTCTTGTTTGAATAGTTATTTTTCCAAACTTGAGCCAAGTTTGGCAAAATAAGAGTTTCCCCCAAAAGCCCAAATGAAGTTGACGACCTTATACGCCATGAACTTTTATTACTATGGAAAGTAAAAGGTGTGCTCATATCCCAATACTATTCAATAAATAAATCTAATAATGAGCTTGAGTAAATGACACGCCAAGGGCCTCTTTGTCTTCAAAAATTCTGAACAATAAACAACAAGACAAAATCGGAATCTAAAATATTATAGAAAATACCAATCTTATCCTTAAACGGTTCCTGATCCCCGCTTCTATAACTACACCCAACGATAAAGAAAAGACAACAGAAGAAGTTAATGATTTAGGTAGTCGAGTCAAACACAGTGATCCATTTTACCAAGGCAAACAGATGACATGCTACAAACATTTCAAAATATGCATAATTATCCGATTGTGGAACAATCAAGCAACGAGGAAATGGAAAAAGAGAGTGAAGAGTGACCGCCGACTGTGGGATTCGAACCCACGACCACATGGTTAAAAGTCATGCGCTCTACCAGCTAAGCTAAGACGGCTTCGTTAAGTGGTCTAACATAGTGAATATTGGCACTACAAATATGTCCACGACATTGGGATTCCATCTTTATTTAATGGTTTCTTGTTGAAATAGTTATTTTTTCAAACTTGAGCCAAGTTTGGCAAAATCAGAGTTTCCCCCAAAAGCCCAAACGAAGTTGACGACCCTAAACGCCACAAACTTTTATTACTGTGGAAAGTAAAAGGTGTGCTCATTGCCCAATAATATTCAATAAATAAATCTATGAATGAGCTTGTGTAAATAACACGCCAAGGGCCTTTTCGTCTTCAAAAATTATGAACAATGAACAACAAGACAAAATCGTAATCTAAAATATTATAGAAAATATCAATCTTATCCTTAAACGGTTCTTGATCCCCGCTTCTGTAACTACACCCAAGGATAAAGAAAAGACAACAGAAGAAGTTAATGATTTAGGTAGTCGAGTTAAACACAGGGATCCATTTTACCAAGGAGAACAGATGACATGCTACAAACATTTTAAAATATGCAGAATTATCCGATTGTGGAACAATCAAGCAACGAGGAAATGGCAAAAGAGAGTGAAGAGTGACCGCCGACTGTGGGAATCGAACCCACGACCACATGGTTAAAAGCCATGCGCTCTACCAGCTGAGCTAAGACGACTTCGTTAAGTGGTCTAACATAGTGAATATTAGCACTACAAATATGTCCACGACGTTGGGATTCCATCTTTATTTAATGGTTTCTTGTTGAAATAGTTATTTTTCCAAACATGAGCCAAGTTTGGCAAAATTAGAGTTTCCCCCAAAAGCCCAAACGAAGTTGACGTCCCTAAACACCACGAACTTTTGTTACTGTGGAAAGTAAAAGGTGTGCTCATTGCCCAATAATATTCAATAAATAAATCTAAGAATGAGCTTGAGTAAATGACACGCCAACGGACTTTTCGTCTTCAAAAATTCTGAACAATGAATAACATGACAAAATCGGAATCTATAATATTATAGAAAATACCAATCTTATCCTTAAACGGTTCCTGATCCCCGCTTCTATAACTACACCCAACGATAAAGAAAAGAAAACAGAAGAAGTTAATGATTTAGGTAGTCGAGTCAAACACAGGGATCAATTTTACCAAGGCAAACAGATGACATGCTACAAACATTTCAAAATATGCAGAATTATCTGATTGTGGAACAATCAAGCAACGAGAAAATGGCAAAAGAGAGTGAAAAGTGACCGCCGATTGTGGGAATCGAACCCACGACCACATGGTTAAAAGCCATGCGCTCTACCAGCTGAGCTAAGACGTCTTCGTTAAGTGGTCTAACATAGTGAATATTGGCACTACAAATATGTCCACGACGTTGGGATTCCATCTTTATTTAATGGTTTCTTGTTGAAATAGTTATTTTTCCAAACTTGAGCCAAGTTTGGCAAAATCAGAGTTTCCTCCAAAAGCCCAAACGAAGTTGATGACCCTAAACACCACAAACTTTTGTTACTGTGGAAAGTAAAAGTTGTGCTCATTGCCCAATAATATTCAATAAATAAATCTAAGAATGAGCTTGAGTAAATGACACGCCAAGGGACTTTTCGTCTTCAAAAATTCTGAACAATGAACAAGAGGACAAAATCGGAATCTCAAATATTATAGAAAATACCAATCTTATCCTTAAACGGTGCCTGATCCCCGCTTCTATAACTACACCCAACGATAAAGAAAAGACAACAGAAGAAGTTAATGTTTTAGGTAGTCGAGTCAAACACAGGGATCCATTTTACCAAGGCAAACAGATGACATGCTACAAACATTTCAAAATATGCAGAATTATTCGATTGTGGAACAATCAAGCAACGAGGAAATGGCAAAAGAGAGTGAAGAGTAACCGCCGATTGTGGGAATCGAACCCACGACCACATGGTTAAAATCCATGCGCTCTACCAGCTGAGCTAAGACGGCTTCGTTAAGTGGTCTAACATAATGAATATTGGCACTAAAAATATGTCCACGACGTTGGGATTCCATCTTTATTTAACGGTTTCTTGTTGAAATAGTTATTTTTCCAAACTTGAGCCAAGTTTGGCAAAATCAAAGTTTCCCCCAAAAGCCCAAACGAAGTTGACGACCTTAAACGCCACAAACTTTTGTTACTGTAAAAAGTAGAAGGTGTGATCATTGCAAAATAATATTCAATAAATAAATCTAAGAATGAGCTTGAGTAAATGACACGGGCTTTTTGTCTTTAAAATTTCTGAACAGTAAACAACAATACAGAATCGGAATCTCAATTATTATTGAAAATACCAATCTTATCCTTAAACGGTTACTGATCCCGCTTCTATAACTACGCTTCTATAACTACACCCAACGCCCGTGACTTCACGTCCTCCTTTGCTCTTTCTACCTTGTTGTTTTGAGTTTCTGTTGTCGTTTTCTCTTTCCTAGGTTTTTGGTTTTCTCTACGAAAGGCTTTTTTGTTCCAGCTTCATCAATGGCACAGGAAGAGGTTGAGAACGGAGGAGCCGAGAAGGTGGCGGCCTTGAAGTTCACGGCGTTGAAACCTCAGCTGATGGTGGAGGCACCCAAGGCTGTTGATGCGGTGCAGTTCTACAAATCCGCTTTCGGCGCCTTTGAGGTTGGCCGCACTGTTCACCCTAAGCGCAAGGCCAAGCAGGTGCTCCCTCACATCCTCTCCGCTCAACTTGAGCTAGCTGGCTCTACCATTATCGTTTCTGATATTGTTGAAAACTCTGCTCCGTACGATCATCCCTCCTTTCTATTTTTAATATTTGATGGTTTCTTAACTTCTATACATTTTCGTTTACTGTAATCTTCGATTATGAAAGCCTATAGATACTGGTTTGCTTTAAGATCTCTTTTCTTTTCGGCTATTTTTCCATTGCGACTGTTTACATTCTTTACATTCAGTCATTGTTGAATAATAACCTCTTTGTTAGGTTTAGTTTATGCTGTGAATATGGTAGAGCAACTCCAACTGTTTTCTTTCTTATTTATTTCTCCAAAACAATGTCATGACTCGTTTGGCTTTTGGCGTGTCTTCAAATAAGCAGGATGAAAACCGAGGGAGGCGGATGTGTGCTCTGCCTCGAGACTGACGACATCGAAGCTGTTGTTGCCAAGGCCGTGAGCGCTGGAGGAGTTGCAAAGAGTGAGATAGCTGAGGACGACGGCGCGTGCTACGGTGGTCGCGTGGGCAAGGTGAAGGATCCATATGGCTACGTTTGGCTTATCTGCTGGGGTTTTTACATAACTGACACCGTTTGATTTTAATTTTACTTTTCTGACACCGTTTGATCAATATTTCCAGAACTAGCACCCTTTCTGCTGAGTTGGCAAAGGCGCATCCCCGGGGCGCGCTTTACCCGTGTTTTTCGCTGAGTTGGATGCCACGTGTGAAAGGCGCGTCCCCGGGGACGCGCCTTTGCCAACTCAGCAGACACGTATTTTGTTTTATAATAAATAGTTTATTTTTATTATTATTATAAATTAATAATATATTATGTAAAATGTTTCGATTATAATGTAAGAATTATCAAGTTTCGAGTATTTTTTATTTTGATTATCGATCTATTAATTTTATCAGTTAATTATTTAAATGTTATCAATCTAGTCATCTCATATCAATATTTAACGAAAATATTGATGCATAAGTTAATAAATTAGTATAATTACATATTTAATCTTCAAGACTTACATATTTTATAAAATTAGTCTTATTGAAAATTTAATTTAATAAATTTAATCTTCCAATCAGAACATGAAATGTGTCATTGTATATAAATGCAAATTATTTAGGTGTACATACATTGACAAATTATATAAATGCAATAACATTAAATTATTAGAAATAAAAACATTCATTTAAATACAATATTAATTACATAAGAGTTAACGGTTATATGATGATAACAGAGCTGGACATTTCGTGGAGGATTTCTTCGTGGAACTTGTTCTTCAGTCTCCTCATCTTCACTATCATCATCAGCAGCATTTTCTTCATTTGGTGTAGATGACGCTGAAGGGGCTGAAGGGCCTGTATAAAATAACGACCCTGGAGGAGTGCTAGTAACAATCCCACCGCTCCCCGGGAACTGTGGAAACATTGGCATCGATGTATGTGATCCAGATGAAGATTGAGGTGTCTGCGGAGAAGCACCACCAGCCAAATAAGATGCATATGAACCATATGCTGGATCATTAAACATAGTCGTATATGCACCTCCATATGGTATAAAACCCTGCGGGCTAGGCATGTAACCTGGCGGGCTAGGCATGTAACCTGGCGGGCTAGGAATGTAACCCTGCGGGCTCGGAATGTAACCCTGCGGAGATGGCATATAAACTGGTGGGCTTGGCATATGAAGTGGAGGGCTGGGCATGTACCCCTGCGGCATCGACGAATAAGGATGTTGTGGTGGGACTGATGCAGAACCGGTAGCGCCTTCTCTCCGTCCACGCGTCGGGGGACGATGATATTGAGACGGTTGACGTCTTTCTCGCGCCTAGGAATGTTAACCCCTCGTGCTTCCGCCGAAAGTAGAAACGGCTTCCCATTTTCATTAAACCAGTCCATATAGTTATCTGTAACCATATGACCAGTTTCAGCGTAATATTGTCGAGGGGCCAACAGTGTATATCGGTTCTCCCGAAGCGCAATCCAATCTCTGTGTCTCACCACCCAGTTAACATCTTTCTTTCCCCGTCTATCTATGTTATGCACGTCGTCTAAATTTCTAGGAGCTCCAGGAATATATTGCGTACAACCATACTGGCGGAGCACGCGATCAACTGGATGCCACTCAATAATAGCATAACATATAAGAGGTATAATCGATATCCATACCTCTAATGACCCACTAAGGTGGGGTGGGATGCAAGCTTTCACTTCATCGCTCGCATAAGGTGTCCACTGAAACTGAAATATAAATATACAATTCAAATAAATAAAATATTCTAATTATATCTAACATTTTAAATTAAAATATTAATAATTAAACAAATTTAAAAACATACCTCAGACCCAGCTTTCGTATCAATAAGTAAACGAATTTCCTCTAACCCAGTAGGTATACTTTTATGGTCCTTTCTTTTCATCGACCACCTATGAATATAATATAACTAAATATCACCCTATTTAATTGAAAATATTTAAATCAAATTTAGTTCGAAAATTACCTCAACAATAAGGGGAATACGTATGGTTCATTCACGATCGGGCATAAGAAAGGCATGCAGAACCACGCCCATGATTGTAGAAGCAGAAGACATCCACCGATAGCAGTTTTCTTATAATTCGTCGCCCGACACATTTCTCTAAAGAGAAATGCCAAAACTGTAGCACCCCAACTATATCTTCCAGCTTCATCAAAATCGATCAGATGCCGCAACCACATACAATGCACCTGGTTGCGAGATTTGTCGGGCATCAATATTCCTCCAATTATTCGTATAATATATGCCCGAGCACATGCCTTTGCTTGATCCTCTGAAGCATTTTCATTTAAAACCTCAAAATTAGCTTTCAACCAAGATAAAGCTATTCTACCTCCATTAACTCTGGCGGAGCAGCTCCAAGATAATCAATGCACATTGATTGCCAATCACCATCCGCCATACCACACATCATATTTCCGTCGACGGGAAGCCCCAGATGCATAGAGACATCCTCCAATGTAATTGTTGCCTCTCCACATGGAAGGTGAAAAGTGTGTGTCTCGGGCCTCCACCTCTCAATCAGTGCAGAAATTAGGACAGGTTCGAGTTTGCAACCGCCTATAATTGTTGCAATATACCCGAACCCGGCAGAAGCCAATATGGCAAAATACGTTCCGGTGTCGGTATACGTGGATTTTTAATAAAAGTTTCTAAAATACGATCAGCATCCTAATAATATTATAAAAAATAAAAATTAATATAAATTCATAATAACTTTAAAATAAAAATAAATTTAAATATTAACATTAATTATAAAAAATATTACCATATCGCTAAAATGTCTGGAGATATGATCAATATCCAATCGCAACAGCATTTCGTTTTCCATTATAACTGTAGACAAAACATATAATTAGCAAAAAAAATTAATAATTCTAAATAAATAATAATAATAATATTATTTTAATAAAAAATAATATTTACATAAATATATTAATAAAAATAATAACTATTTAAAAAAATACTAACATAAAATAAATTTCTTACCACTAATAACAAATTTAAAACTCAAATAGTTTGAGAATTTGAGTTATATAAGACAGGAGAAGATGATTTTGGTGTGAAGAATGAGTGAGGGTTGAGGGGGTTTATATAGGGGATGAGGAGGGGTAATTAGGAAAAACGGATGGGGCATTTATGACATTTAATGGAAGGCGCGTCCCCGGGGATGCGCTTTCCACACGTGTATGCTGATATGGCAAAGGCGCGTCCCCGGGACGCGCCTTTCACACGTGGCATCCAACTCAGCGAAAACACGGTAAAGCGCGTCCCCGGGGACGCGCCTTTGCCAACTCAGCAGAAAGGGTGCTAGTTTTGGAAATATTGGTCAAACGATGTTAGAAATGTAAAATTAAAAACAAACGGTGTCATTTATGTAATTTAGCCTTATCTGCTCCCATGTCGTACGATCTTTTGATATAATTTCCTCAGCTTTAATTTCTCTGTGACGGGTGGGTATTTTGATACTGTTCTTCATGAACCTCCAGGTGTCAGTTGCTCTTAAATGAAATTCACCAGCCTGTTTTTAATCTCTTAAATTTTAGTAAATAATTTGTTAGCAGTAACCCGAGTGATATTTGATTCGGATAAAATTCTACCATCGCACACTGAAATATACCATTAAATAGATGTATTAGAATATATCACTAATTAAATTATCTTTATTAATTAAATATTAAAAGGTAATTTATATGTTTGCAGCTACATTATCATTTTTATTTTGTTATGATATCTAAATTTTAATTTTTTAAAAAATAATTAACTACAATTTTGATATAACATGTCAATTTTTTATTTTTAATTATCATAACACTTTTTTTCTTTATTTGTTGATATTTTTAATTAATTTTATACAATTAATTAGGTGGTGACACTTGTCACAATTGTATCACCACCTATGGAAATAAAAAGTCAGAAATCACTCTTGTTAGTATGAAATGAACTTAGGTCTTTTACATGAGAAATAAAACACTTAACCAATGAACTAAGTTAGTCATTTAGTTAAATTTCATCACATTTTGTATTTAACTTGTATAACGATATCATTATTAAATTAAAAGACTAATTTTTCACTTTATATAAAAATACATACTTATTTTGTTTAAAAATACTTACTTATTAATTATTAAATTAAAAGATTAATTTTTCACTTTATATATAAACAAAAAATAATTAAATAATTTATATATTTTATAAAAAAGTATATGAAATAATTATATATATAATATTATAAAAATATTCATTTAATTTAAAATCAAATTAATCATTCAAAATAATATTATTTTAAAAATTATCTATTTAATTTTAAATAATTTAAGTGTAAGGTAAATTATATGTTTAGTATCCAACTATTACTTTGGTTACAATATTATTTAAAATTAAATAAATAATTTATAAATAATATTATTTAAAATAAATAAAATTATTTCAAATGAATAAATAATATGATTTTGAAAATTAAATAAATATTTTAAAATAATTTCATAATATTATAAAAATAATTTTATAAATAATAATATAAATTTTATAAATATATATAAATAATTATTTAATTATTTTTTATTTCTAAAAAATGATATAAGTATTAAGTTTGATATAATAAAAATATATTTGTATTATAATTGAATGACTAAACTTTTGGTCGTTAATTTAAAGTGTCACGTATTCAAATTTTATAATTATCTGAAAATATTAATTTTGTGATGATACTATTATATAGGTTAAATAAAAAAATGTGATAAAAGTAAACTTATATTACTAGTTTAACTCTATGGTTGAGTGGTGTGTATTTCATGTAAAAAGCCTAGGTTCAATTCATGTTAAGAGCAATAATATTTTATTTTATTTTATCCACATAGTTATTGACACTTGTTACCATTTAACTGGTTGAATAAAAATCATTAAAAATGTCGACATATAAATAAAAAGGTGATATGAAAATTTAAAAAATATAAAATCAACATGTCTTGCCATATCAATATTATCGTTAACTCATGTCAATATTATCGTTAATTGTTTTTGAAAATAAATAAAGTTAAGATAATAAAAATAAAAATAATAGTGTA